ATAAATAAATGGATTTCCATGATTTTTCTAGGCTTATTTATGTATCCAAAAATTATGAAAATTGTTTTGTCACTTAGTTATCATGTGATGAACATTTACAAAAATTTTGGGGCCAATTAGAACAAGTTGATTTATTTCATAATTCTTAATTAATTAATTAATTCATAAAAACAAATAGTAACATTTAGTGATTTAGGTTTTGTTTGAGTTTTTTATTGAGTGATGTCCTTGGGTCATTAGTTGGTGATGATCTTTGGCAATTGATGTGAGTGTTGCGAAAATGGTTTAGTTAGTTTAACTTGTAACTGTACCACGAAGGAAAGTTGTATTCAAGTTGTTAATTTTGCATCCATCATCGAGCATCATATTTTGTATCCCGCATCATGTTAAACATGGCATTGTTACTTCATGTAGTGAACGAAGGTGAACACGTGGTAGTTAATCAAGTAGTTGAGGAGGTTGATCCGTCTGTGTAGGTTGGTGTTGATATCGGTGGAACGACTCCGGACCCAGACTTTTCCGTCAACGAAGACAAGCCCCGGATGCATAGAACCCTACCTTGTATTTTTCAAATTGATTTCACTTTTGCTTCTTTTTACTGTATTAAGTGATTAGGAGTCAAGTGAAAACTAAATTGGTACATTACCAACCTTGTTATTCCATATTTACCATATTACCAATTTTAAATTTGTATATGCCTAGTTTTGCTTAGCTATGCTTAGAACGATGAAAGTCGGGTGATTATCTGTCACCTGCGAACTTTAAATGGAACTTTGGTTAATTATGTTAACATGTGATATGGGAATATGGAGTAATAAATCTAGACCGGGCGGACTCGGTGTGTGTGAGCCACAAGACATGGAGGTCTTATGAGCGAGTTCTTTCCGCCTGTGTCGATTAAGGTCCGTCCGTTGTTGAATTGCATGAGGTGAGACTTTGTAGTACTAACCACATACTCCGGTAAGCCTTAACTTAGCTATTCTATTACGAGAATGGCTACTCGCGTACTGGGAGTGGAGACATGGCGGGAATAGCGTGTACCCACGTGGCAATGGGCTGGATTGGTGGAGTATTGTATTCTCGGGTGGCGCGGACCCGTTTTTGTTTAGAGGATCCGAGGGTAGGTTGGTATATGTAGGTCGGGGACCTGCATATGTCGTGTGGTCTGGAATTCCCAGCTGGGTTTTTAATCGGTTCGAATCGTCGTTGCTCCTCGGTTATGGAGACTCAACTCACTGTTCATCATCGTAGTGTTAATAACTGAAACTTGAGGATAGTTTGAGAAAGTGTTGGATACGAAGTTTCATGATCTCAATGCGGATCGTGTCAGCTTTGTATATGATCTTATTAAGTTTTAGATACTAATGTAAAGAATTTTATTAAAAAGCTTTTACGCAAAAGAACTTTGATTGTTGCTAAAGCCATACCTTGAATCCCTGAGCCTGCATTCATAAGTTCTATCAGTTTTTATTTTAGTTAAGTCTTGTTGAGTACTTTTGTACTCATGGTTCGTTGACCCTTGTTGCAGGTGAGGGCCATGAGCAGATCTGTTTTGGATCGTGCTGCATGACTGTTGTTCAGTGCGATGACGATAAGTAAATGTGTGGTTCTTGGGCAGGGCAGCTTTAATTGTGTGTTTTGTAATATATTATAATGCCACTCCACTACTTTATTTTATATTATTAATCGAACTTAGTTGTATGGTTTGAAACAAATGGTTTGTAAACTATATTATTGTAAGTCTTCCGCTGTATTTACTCTGATGTATCTATTTGAATAAACTGTTGTAATACTGCAATGACTCCGTAATGTGATCCTGCTCGGAAATCGTGGATGATTCGGGGTTTCCCGAGGACACCCGACAGTCTTCTTAAGTTACCGGGAACGTATGCATAGATGTCAAAGGTCGTTGGACAGTGACAGGTGCATATGGGCCCTATAATTTAGGAGGTTCTGCCACAACAAGCATATGCATGTATATAATCAACATCACATATGATAATATGTAAAGATTAAGATGAAATTCCATATGCTCATGCTCATGAATGCTTGGATGATGCTTGTGCTCATGAAATGTAAGTGTCAAATACAATGCTTAACACTAGGGTGTTACAGCCCTTGTCACAAATCCTTGCATGCACTGGTAGAGCAACAGCTCGGTCAACCTAGGTGATGCCTTCCTTGGTTCCACGTAGGATGAAAATAGCAGAGAAAAATTATATTCCATACTGTTTCATTTTCAACCTTTGTCCCACCAATTTTTGTACTGTAAGATTTTATTTCTGTATTTACGAAAACCATATCGGGAGTCTCCCAGCCATTTTTGGGAAATCCCATTTTTATTTCGGATGAACCCACATTAATCCCCTTTTCAATCTATGTGAGTGCGTAAAATAACGGGTTGATGACTAGAGAGATGATGAATATAGCCTATTAAAATTTCTTGAAAGTACAAATACAACTAAGCATAAGAATTAGTAACAAAGATGAGCTCTAGTAAGCACTATCTGCGCTTATTAGTCTAGCAGGCTCAACAAGCACTCATACACAGGTCTAGAGAGACAAAGGTTAAAGCAATAAGCTATGCACTAGAGCTAAAACTAACAAGCTAGGAACACGAGCTACTCCAACAACTACTCTAGCTAGAAAAACAACTACTCACATAGATAAACTAATTAGATAGATCGTTAGATAGTATCATTAGATAAATCATTGAATCTAATAAATTTATATAGAAATACAAATGTTGCTAATATTTTTTACAAACTTAGTCAAACTTGAGGAAGTCTGAATGGCACGAATCTCATGGCGACACTTAAATAGGGATGGAGGAAGTATACTAAAACAAACTAGAGCTAATCAACTATACAAGCACAAAGATGCAGAATGTAAAGAGCAGGTGTTGAAAGTGTAAACCACAAGTTGAGAATGACATAAAGATTTATCCTGTGCTTAGGTAAGTAGCAACTCCAAGACAAAGAGATAGAGAGAGGTGAAAGGAGAGAGGGCCTTGGTAGGGAAGAAGATAAGATGTTTGACTCTTAGGTGGCCGTCACACGATGATGGCTAACCAATCTATCATCTTATTTTTCACCGTCCATCCAATCAAACAAAGAAATAGAACCATTTGATCCTTCTAGCCAAACATAGACATGGAATTGTTCTATTCCTTAAAATCTAGAATATAATTATCCCATTCTCAGTCGCTTCAGAACAAAAATACACTCTAAAACAGTATACGAAGCCTAGCAGATTGCATTTCAAAATTAAAGTCCACCAAAAAAATCCATTCCTCTATGTGAAAAGGTCATTTTATCTCCACAAACAGCTGTAGTAGCATAATTGTACTTCTAAAACATTAAAATCAGTTATCTTATATATTAAATTCTTGAAACGCTTAAATTGCCTCTCTGCCTTGGTGTGAAATGGTTTTAAAATGCTTTTGTTTTTTTAGTTAAAACAATTATGTAAATACTTATATAGTTTTTAAACCACACAAATGTTTATAAGCTTATAAATATTTTGATTTGATAAAAATTTCAGAGATAGATTAATATACGAAGGATCCAAATAATTTTTTTGGGGCTTGTCAAGATATCTCTAGAAGCCTTAAACAATTAGATTTAGCTTTAGGAGAATGAGAAAATATGCAGAGCGATCTAGAAGATTTCAAAAAACATTATAATCGATATTTATGTGTTACAACTAGCGTGAATGCAACAATATATTAATGCTAAATGCATTCATGCTAGTTGCGTCTTGTGTTTCGATTGTGGAAAGTTTTTAAACACATTTAGATATCAATTAGAATGTTTTAGAAATTTTCTATTTTTTTGATAATTTTCCACTTTCATGGAGCTAAATCTATATGTCGGAATCTTTTAGGGCTCGTTTGAATCCTTAGAATTGAATTCATTCTAATGATCATAATTTATGCACAAATTAATTAAAGTTAATATGGTTCTATATGGAATATATTTGTATATTACTGTTAGCCATACAAGAGAGATACTTATATGTTGCATTTCTACTATAGGAAGCAAGTTAAATGTGCTATAAGTTGAAGAGTAGAAACATAGTGATCTATAGAATCAATTTCCATCTCTCATGTTATGAATTTAAGATAGTTTTATATGTGAACTCGAGAAAGTTGTGGAATATCAAATTCCAAGCCAAATAGCTTATTCCATTAAGTAGATTTTAATTCCTCCAAAATAAAAGGATCTAAACGGCCTCTTAATATATTTTTATAGGTTGTATATAAATTTTGGACCCGTCGTATCCTAATTTATTTTATGTTTTTTTTTCAAAATTTGAGAAGTTCAGAGACATTTTCTATAGTTTAATAGCCTTATTATATATACTGATTTTATTAAAAAAAATATAAAAATCGTCTTAAAACCACCTCAAAACAGGACTAGTTTTAGTTCGAATCAGACTAGTTTTACAGTTCAAATCAGACTAGGACGATAGTTTTAAAAGAAACCTCTTTTTCCTTACCGTACTAATCAAACCAGGTGGGTGTGGGCAGCAGGGTGTTCCGGTCCTACGGTTGAAACGAAACCCAATTGCTCCCGTTCGCCTCTGCGGGCTGCGGCCTGGCTTTTCCCTTCTCGGCTCCTCCCGTTCGCGTGCGGCCGTGCGCGCTCTCTTTCTTTCTCGGCGCCTCTCTTTCTGGCGGCGACGACTGACCCAGCGCCGCCGCCGACCTAGCCAGGTGCCCAGGTCTTCGTCAGGCCCTTCGCCAGCGACGAGCTCCCAGCAGGTATGTCCACCGCACCTCTTCCCCTCCTGTGCGAAACCGAGCACCCAAACCCTAACCCCTAATGTAAGCTATTTGTATTCGGATCTGATTAACTTCAACTACATACATGTATTATGCCTACTCACTTTGATTTTTTTTTGCAAAAATTATCGGGTGTATATGTGTACACCCATGTCCTATACTGCCTCCGCGCCCTGATTTTGATGCTCTGTGATGATTGTGTCATAGTGTCCAGATGAGTTCGAAGAAGGTTCCGTACCACAAGCATCGGGAGGCTGAGGAGGCGAGGAAGAAGGTCAGGGGTTCAAGTCCCTTCTAACCTTTTCATGTGACATTTACTTTCCCCTTGTACTGGGTGTTCATATTTTGTTTTGACTGCTTTGGTATGTGAAGAGGGAGGAAGATGAAGCAGCGCGTGTATATGCGGAATTTGTTGAGTCCTTCCAAGGTGATAGCTCATCTGGGGCTAAGTTTGTCCGAGGTGGTGTGATCGACCCCAATGCAAAGCTGAAGATTGACTCAGAAGGTTAGTGGCAGGGGTTTCATTTTTCCTTACTTCCTCGTAGTTGCCTTCCCACTTTGTAGTTTCAATATCTTCCAAGATGGATATACGCATTGTTTCTTTTATTGCTCCAATTGATCAAGAGATCGGCCTTTTTATTCATTCGGCAATGGCAGGTGGAAAGTCCAAAGATGGGGGGTCTGTTCCAAAGAAGGGCAGTAGGTAAACGGCAAAAATACTTGATTTCTAGAAGATGGTATCCTGTGGTACCGCTGCTACATCTTTAGATGGTCATGCGGCTGATATAACCAGGATTCAGGGACACGGCCTAGTTTTGATTGCCGTGTGCTATATACTCGGCACATACTTTTCTCTTCGTTACAATTATGCTTCTTAAACTGTCTGTTAATTGAACTTTGAAACTGTAACCAAGTGCTGAATGCAGTTTAAAACAATGATAAGGGTAATCTGAAGAAGAAAATTGTTTGCCGGTCTTATGAATGGCCATGCCATCTTGTTTCATGTCTAGTGTTTTGGTTGCATTAATAAAATCTCACAGTGGGGGCCTCCCCTGCTGTATTTTTTGCTAAAAAAAAAGTGTTTCGGTTGCACTTATCCTGTAGTTTCAACCTGACGGAACAATTCATTGTTGCTACATCAGCTTGTGATGGTATTACACTAGTTTTGCCTTCGTTTGATTTCATGTTTGTTTATGGTGTTAGCACTTCTGTAGAGGTCACAACGCTTCATCATTGGTGATCTTACATTAGTGTTTTTGACCGTCTAATAAAAATGTTCTAGGGTTCCAGGTAGGCATGCTAGGTATCTGCCTTATAGAACTTTGGATTAGTGTGATGAATATATATATATATATATATATTTTAGTCATATAAGTCAGTGATTTATCTGAACTCGGGATACCACATTTAATCTGCATTTGTGTGTTTCTGGTGGTTATTTTCTATTTATGTACAAATGTCCTTTTAGGATGTGTTTGGTTCAGGGGATAGGGGACTGGGGAGGGGGTCATCCCATTTTGAGGTGTTTGGTTGCATCCTGCCCACCCCCACAAAAGCTGGGAGAGGCTGATCCTGCCGAAACTGGGCAGACCACCCTCGCACACCATGCTCTCTTGACATTGTGGGTCATGCCTTCTGATCCCTCCCCATTGCTCACCAACAGAAAACTGGGATCATCCCATCCCTCGTACCATACAACCAACTGGAATCATCTTATTCCTATCCCTAATAACAGGGATGGCCCTATCCCATCCCACCTTGCCCCCGAACCAAACATATCCTTAGATGGTACGAGGACATTGTGTTGAGTATGGAGAAAGTACTCATGTTGGATCTAGTCAAGGGCTAACCTAATAGCAGGATGGTCCTATCCCATCCCACATTGTCCCCAAACCAAACACATCCTTGGATGGTATGAGGATACTAGGCTGAGTATGGAGAATGTAGTCATGTTGGATCTAGTCAAGGGGTAATTAGTTAGACGGCACTGTCTCAAATTTGTGGGATGTATAAGTAATGATGTTTTCTGTATATTTAGGGGTGCTCTGTTAAGAACTTTAAAGCTTATCATACCTTTATATTGTAGCTAGAGTTTCTCATGTCAGTAATGCTGATTTAGTTCCAGAGTTTTCAGCCACTTAGAATCTTCTAATTTACATGTCTACTCCTGTATCTTTTTTGGGGTGTGTTTGGGCTATAATTCCTCTCAAGGGGTGTGTGTGGGTGTGGGTTGTGTTCAGCGGGCATGTTTTAGATTTTTCCGTATCAGGGTTACTCCATCTCCTTTGTACTTTTCTCGATCTTCTTAATGAAACGATACACAGATCTCCTGCGAAGGACTCCTAACTTTTGCACTCTTCTCAGTGACCAGACCCAGACTAGATTGACTTGAAAATTCATGTCCTTGGACTAAATTCTTGTGGAGTGGAAGCTTTAGGATCAATTATACTTTTTAATACAAAGTATGATTGCTTCAAGCTTTGTTGGGGAATCTTAATTCCATTGTTTGCATCATTATATTATCAGGATTTTGGTTATAGCATAAGCCAAAATAGCAAAGTTGAAATTTCACGAGTTGAAGTGAGAATGCCTGAAATACCATCATATCTGCAATTCTTTGCTTCTGTTGTTCTCATAACCCCATGGTACTTAGGTGTATGCATAGATACCTTATACATAGCATTCTTTTCTCCAGGTACGTCCCATCCTTCTTGCCACCATCATTTGCGAAAGAGCCTGAGAAAAAGGTTAGGACACTTCACACTTCCCATATTCTTATGATTTGCCTCGGTCAATCTTTATAGTTCCTTTGGTTAAGCTTTGTCTGGACTTGCAGAAGGAAGAGGAGAGGCCAAAGGAAAAGGAAAAAGGAAAGCCACGGGTAATAGATAAATTCTTGGAGGAACTCAAGTTTGAACAAGAGCAACGGAAAAAGCGCAGTCAGGATCGAGATCACCGCCATGAAGGTCGTCACAGCGATAGCTCCATGGTAGGCACTTGTATGTGTAAAAATGGTGATTTTGTTTTGTTCCATACTTCCACGAGAGGATTGTGTGGATTAATCAATATTTTGTTTGGTTTGTGGAAATATTATATGTTAAAGTTACTAGGCTGTAGAATGTAGAATATCAATATTTTCAACTCGTTTTGCAGCTTTTTTGAACTGTTCTTAAACTGATGTCGCTAATAAGAAATTTATGTGATTAATTTGCAGTTTCTCTATGAATACTATTAGTTTTTTTTTTCATTGATGCTTAAAATTATTTCGTGTAGCCCTCTAGCCGGTTTGATGAACTACCAGATGAATTTGATCCGACTGGAAGATTTCCAGGATCATTTGATGATGGTGATCCTCAAACCACCAACTTATATGTCGGCAATCTATCTCCTAAGGTTGCTTTCTCTGCTGCACTGTTCCGTCAAACTTGTATGCATTATCTTGTTAGCTTTACTTGCTATGGTGTTAGGTCGATGAGAATTTTCTTTTGAGGACCTTTGGTCGGTTTGGACCTATTGCTAGTGTCAAGATTATGTGGCCTAGAACAGAAGAGGAACGCAGAAGGCAAAGAAATTGTGGTTTTGTTGCCTTCATGAATAGAACAGACGGACAGGCAGCAAAGGATGAAATGCAAGGTTAGTGTGCACATCCATGTAGTGTTAACCCATCTGGATAATGTTTGTTCATTGTTTATGGGAACTTGAAATGCTTTTTTTGGCTGGTATTCTTACCTTCAGCTTAATTGATGATTTATTTCAGGTGTTGTTGTGTATGACTATGAACTGAAGATTGGATGGGGTAAATCTGTTGCTCTTCCATCACAGGCTTTGCCTGCTCCTCCTCCAGGACACATGGCAATCAGAAATAAGGAGGTTGCTTCTTTTGTCCTTTCGCGCTGTATTAAATTCTGACTTCATCTGAACTTTTTCTCATGATATATTTGCAAGTTTTAATAGAATGTGATGTTTTTGGTATTGCGAGTTGTTTTTGACGATCTTTTTCTTCATTTTATACAGGGTGGTACAGTCATACTTTCTGGTCCTGGCGGCCCTGCTGTTGCATCTGTTACACCACAAACCTCAGAGCTGGTAGGGGAAGTTGTACATGACCCATTATTAATTCATCCGTTATTTGTTCTAGGATGCCATTCTTTATCCCACAGCATTACTTTTTTTTACTTGTTCCTTCTAGTGATCATGTTCTCTTTCTTTCTTCTTTTGGTTTATGTGAGTGCACTAGTACAGTGATCTTGCTATCTAGGTTATCCTGTTAGTATCACCGTAAAAGAATTAACATTGAAAATTCTGCTGTCTTGCTTTGAGTTAGATTGTGAAGGATGAATATTTCGTACTTCATAATATTAATGTTTCTTAGAAAATACTTTATCTCTTGAATCGTGTAGACTGGACTGAAGGTAAATTCATTACTTATCTTGCTGAGAACAACTTAATATTAATGTTTTCAAAGGTCCTCATTTTGCACATGAGTTAATGCCCTTATTGTACACCACTGCCTTGATCTAAGGTCTCAACTTACGTACTGTTCTAGGGCCTTTTTGGATCACTGAGTTACCTTCTAGGCTATCGAAACGGGTGGACTAAAAGGACTAATTTTTAGTCCAGCCCAACTAGTTGTTAGTCCCTCGGTAGTCCATGTATCCGAACAGCGAAGGACTAAATTTTTAGTCGCCTAAACTTTCACCTAAACTTTAATTGGACTAACAGCTAGTCCAAGTCATCCAAACAGGCCCCTAATATCTGAAGTGCAGATATAATTTCTGGTTTCTGGTTACGTATTTGTTGCTTCTCATGTGATTGAATAAGTTTTTTCTGGAACATGATATCCTGTGATACTGCATTATATTAAAATGAGTGATTATCTGTTGGTGATTTATTTCACATTATGGATTCATTGACTTGATAGGTCCTTACACCAAATGTTCCTGATATTGTGGTTGCTCCACCTGATGATGGACGTCTTCGGCATGTGATTGACACAATGGCTCTGCACGTACTTGATGGTGGATGTGCTTTTGAACAAGCTGTAATGGAGAGAGGGCGAGGAAATCCTATATTTGATTTCTTGTTTGATCTTAAATCTAAAGAGCACACATATTATGTTTGGAGGCTATACTCATTTGCTCAGGTACTTGTTGCTGTCTATAGTTCAAAATTTAAAAAATGGCATCTCAGTGTTCTAACGGCATAATATCTCTGTTCCTTTTATTCATTCATATTTGCTATTCTTAGTTAGAAGTTAGATTATCAAAAGTATTATGCTTACTTCTGCTGATGTCCATTGTGTCTGTTGCACAAGGAGAACTTGTTAAGTTGTCAAATAAGCGTTACTTAGTTTATATGTTTTTCTTGCTCAACAGAACTTTATATCTATGACCATATTTATGGCTGGAACATATTTTTTTGAGAACCAAGTCACAATTTATTACATCCATGAAATTTCAAGTAACTACCAAAAATTATTGCGCTGGTAGAGTGCTAACAGCTTGTGATATTTGTAAACATAGGGTGATACTTTACAACGATGGAGAACAGAACCATACATCATGATCACAGGAAGTGGAAGGTAATAGTTTTGAACAGTAAGGATGAATATGCATGGTATCTGCTTATTGACTTTCTTGACAAAAATGCAATATGCAATTCAGATGGGTTCCACCTCCCTTGTCATCCAACAGAAGCCCTGAACGTGAAAAGGAATCTACATTTGCTGCTGGTAGAAGCAGGGTAAGTAACTGTTAGACGTAATCAGAGCATTAAATTGTTCTGTTGATGTCAAATAAGTAAATGGCTGTTCTGTTACAATACTAAATTTGTGCTCCCCTCTTCAGCGTGTTGAAGTGGAGCGTACATTGACTGACTCACAGCGTGATGAATTTGAGGACATGCTGCGAGCTTTGACATTAGAGAGGAGCCAAATAAAAGATGCCATGGGATTTGCCTTGGATAATGCTGATGCAGCTGGGGAGGTAATGTGTACTTTCTAATATTATCTAATTAGCTCTATTTTCTTTTCTTTTTCTTCACTCTTTTGCATTGCTTAATGGTACTGTGACGTATTTATCTATACACCCAGTCACCCACATTGAGACCAGTTAATAGCTTAATGGTTATGTGTCAACAACAAAACAAGTGTATGTAGTTACTGGATTCATGTGGCCACGGACTCAGTTGACTGACTGTTTGAAGGACAACCCTTGTGTTGACTGATAAGATCGGTTTTATTTTTATAAGAGGGAAGTGAGTAAAACTGGCGACATGTAAAGTATGCATACAATGATTGTTGAAATGGTATCAATTTGCAACATGTAAAGTGTATATTGATTGATGAAATATCTTTGTTCCTTCACCAATGTACACTATTTTGTTCCTTGGGCGATGCTTAGATGATATGTAATAACTGTTGAGACCTGGTTTTGTTTTAAAATTTTGTTGTCTTATAGTTTAGCTTATTATTTGTTAGGCAAATCTTCTGTGATTCTGGTTTTTAGACTTTTATCTTCCACATGATGTCTCTTCTGTAGTTCTCATTGGATGATTGTTCATGTCTTGCATTCCAGATTGTTGAGGTTCTTACAGAATCATTGACACTCAAGGAGACGTCTATTCCAACAAAGGTTGCTCGGCTTATGCTGGTGTCTGACATCCTTCATAACAGTAGCGCACCTGTGAAGAATGCATCTGCATTCCGAACGAAGTTTGAAGCTTCTTTACCAGATGTTATGGAGAGCTTCAATGACTTGTACCGCAGTATCACTGGAAGGATTACTGCTGAAGCTCTGAAGGTAACTTATGTTGCGCCGTTTGTTGAATACTCGAGCTTATTTTTGTCCTTGATGTTCTTACATGTCTGCATGGATTTATTACTGTTCTACAGGAGAGGGTTATGAAAGTTCTACAAGTTTGGGCAGACTGGTTCCTGTTTTCTGATGCATTTCTGAATGGGCTGAGGGCTACTTTTCTTAGATCAGGCAACTCTGGCGTCGTTCCGTTTCACTCGTTATGCGGTGATGCACCTGAAATTGAAAAGAAAGGTAGCTCTGAGGATGGAAATGATGGATTTAAGCTTAATGAAGATGGTGCCTTGGCTACTGGAAAGGCAGCAGCAACAAAGGAGCTATTAGGGCTCCCGCTAGCTGAACTCGAGCGCCGTTGTAGACATAATGGCCTCTCTCTGTGTGGTGGTAAAGAAATGATGGTCGCCAGGCTGCTTAACTTGGAAGAGGTTGAGAAAGAACGAGTATATGAGAAGGATGTTGACATGAAATATTTGCAGGGTGAACAGCATACTATTGGAAGTGGTGTGAATGCTCATAGTACTTCAAAATTTGGTGAAAGTCCTAATGGTGATGAATTAGATGTCTCTCGGAACAATATGAGAGCTGGTAAAGGACGTTCCGTAGAATCTGCGTCTGCCGAACTTGAATCATTTCCAAGCAAGAAGCCGAAATATGATCCTGTTTTGCCAGCTTCTAAATGGAGTCGAGAGGATGACATCAGTGACGATGAAGATAGAAAAGGTGGTCGAGGCTTGGGATTAAGCTATTCATCTGGAAGCGATATTGCTGATGATCTTGGAAAGGTCGATACAACAGAAGCTAGTACTGACCACACAAGTCATCATCATGATACGATCGTTGATGAAGAGCACAGGTACTTGTCCATGTTCAATATTTTTATCATTTCCATGCTAGTTTTTATAAGTGTCTGCCAAGCACATACTTAGGCGTCATTTGGCACCGCCGCCAGCAGCTCCGGTTCCACACGTGCGCGCTGTAGGCACTGTATAGCACTGTAGCGCGAAAGCAAAACGGCTCTGGCTCTGGCAAAACATAACTGCGAAAATGGAGGAGCTACTGTCTTGGGGCTCTGGCGGCTCCGCCTACAGTACTGCTATAGTACCGGAGCTGGAGCTGGCGCCGGAGCTGCATGGAGGCTCTCGAAACATGCCCTTATTTTGTTCAACTAACTCCAACGCCTTCTTCTCTGCAGGCAGAAGTTGAGGCAGATTGAAATTTCTGTCATGCAGTACCGTGAATCTCTTGAGGAGCAGGGTCTGCGTAACTTGGATGAGATCGAGAGGAAGGTTGCCAGCCATCGAAGGCGGCTTCAGTCAGAATACGGTTTATCCACTTCAACTGATGGTGCTAACAACAGGCGATCTTCTGGTATGTAAAGGGCAGTAAGGACACCTGCTTATTTGATAGTATCATTTTTGGATTTGAACTTCCATCATCATTGAGATTTTCACAACTTCATATATCATATATTAGTTTATGCACTAACAATGAGCCATGCTGCACCCCTCAACTGCATTTAGTCTTTGCTCTCCCTTTGTTTTTGGAAGCTAGTTTTACACACTTTAAACAATATTCTATTTCGCAGAAAGAACATCATCGGAGCGGAAAGAGAGGCATGACGATGCACATGATTATCCTAGGAAACGGCGTCGGAGCCAGAGTAAAAGCCGCAGCCCTCCAAGGAAGTCACAGGAGAGGGATCGAGAGCACAATCGCAGTAGAGACCGATCGCATGGCAACGATGCCGGGAGGGATAGGGTACGTGAGAAAAGTGCAAGCCGAGGGCGAGATGACCACTACGACAGAAGCCGAGACAGAGAGAAGGACAGGAGAAAGGGGAGGTGACTGACCTGAAACCCTCGTCACCATTCACCATTTGCCTGGACTGAAGGGCCCAGGAGCTGGGCTACACGCCCATCAGCAGCAACATCAGTAAACATATCGTCCGCACCAGGCAGGTTACCCTGGTCTGCTCAATGCTGTCTGTAATAGGAGTTCTGAGGATTTTAAGTTCGAGGTTTTGTAGAGAAGACTTGTTTGTAACTGGTTAAAATTTTGCGGATTAAGATGTACCCGATGTGTAGTTTATGCTCAAAACCAATGTTGGATACACCCAGACCCAGAATTGTCAGTATGAGACAACCGAGGTATGGACTGTGATTCTGTTCTTCTCTGGTGGGATGGTTCGTGTAGATCTTGCAGGGCAGCAGGGCGTGCGAGTACTGTTGGTGCGTCTCGGCGCATGCGTCGACAATGCAGGCTCCAACTAACGTGCTCACGTGCACGAGAATGTGTTGTATCATGCTCTAGCATGCGAGTGCGCTACTGACGTGGTGTGTAGCCACTTGCTTTTTCATGATGCTTGGTGTTAAGGATGGCATATAGATTTGAAAAAGTTGGACAATGTTGGAACAAAAGTTTAATGCATTTCGACATTATCATTGTATTATATACTCCAATGTTGGAGACGTTTCCTGACGATGGCGTGGAGCATCTGATGGTAACCATTTGTCTCCAGATGTTGCAGCCCTTTGTTAACACTTTTGCATCTCTCAATTTTCCCGATGATGCATGGTGACGAGGGCGCATTAGCACGCACCGGTGGTTTTGCCCATAGATACAGAAAGAGGGAGGGACTGAGGGAGAGACGGACTGACGGGGAGAGGCCACCAACCTGTTGCCTCTCCTCTATCGGTCCGTCTATCCAAAGGAGACGCAGCTGTCGTGTCAGCAAAGCACACGCCAACACGGACACGAAACGTGTGTGCGGGGTGCAGTGCGTGTGGCCCAGACATGGAATGGAGCGTTTCAGACGTACGACATCGTTAGCGGCAACAACGACCTGCTCTGCTTTTGCTAACAACGACCTGCCCCGCTAGAGCGAACCGGAGAAATGTACATTTACATTACGGATGCATAGACTTGTGTTATAGAGATACATATATAATGTAATTTTAATAATTTCAATCATTGTTTTCCACCCGATCTCATCTACTGTGCCAATTTCAACCCGAGTCCTATCGTTTTCCACTCTTTTTCCAATGGCGTGACATGCCCCCCCTCTCCTCTGCTCTACACGAGACAGGACGAGGGAAAAAAAGAAAATGGCCTGATGAGATGCATCTGCGTGTCCATTTCCGGTTCCGGTTTCACCCGAGGTTGCGTTCGGACAGCGACGTACGAGTTCCAACGGGCAATGGCCCCGCTCGCTTGTTCTGAACTGTACGCCACTGTAGCCTCCGTAAGCAGAAGCAAACAGGCCAATACTTGTGGCGCTGGATCCCAGGACTCCATTTGAAACACCGGAATTTCGTCGAAAACCACTCGATTTCTCCCCAAACGAACTCGCGGGAGAAATCCATCTGCCCCGTTCGTTTTCTACTCAAACAGCTCCCGCCGCATGTGTGTGTGCATGCGGTGCACGTAGCAGTAACCCATGCCGCACCAGGTGATAGCGTGAGCCGCCAGCGTCAGATGAGATGACAGCGACGTCATGCACATCGAGAAAGGAAATAAATATACTCACAGCCGCAACGGCGCCTCCCCGCGATCTCAAAGGCCGCCGCTTCGTGTGCTCCCTGCGCGGGCTGCTGCACCTGCTGGCCCCCGGTTCCGCTTCCGCCGACTCATTTCAGTACAAGATCCGAATCCAAAAATCTCACCCCACCCCTTGGGCCTGGGCCTGTTTAGACGGCGAATTTTTTTTACAAAAGGCATTATAGCACTTTTCGTTGTTATTTAGTAATTAGTGTCCAATCATAATCTAATTAGGTTTAAAAGATTCGTCTCATGAATTTCGTACTGTGTAATTAGTTTTATTTTTTATTTATATTTAATGTTTCATACATGTGTCCAAAGATTCGATGTGACAAGGAATCTGAAAAATTTGGCAAAATTTTCTGAAACTAAACTGGACCCAAGAGAAGGAAGATTTCGGAATTCCTCGCCCGGACCGGATCTGAATCTTTTGGACGCTGCCTGTCTGTGCTTGCTCCGAGAGGGTCCGTCTGGGTGTGGAATCCAGCAATTTTACGTTAAAATTTCAGTTTCAGCCAAATTGAACCGGAGCACGAAGGAACAGTGCGTACCAACTGTCATCGCACCGCGTCTCTCGTTCGCCACTGACAGGTGGGCCACCACCCGGCGGGCCCCGCGAGGCAGTCGTGGTTGACTGCTGCTGCGCTACAAGTACTCCCTAAGACTATCTAACGCCGTGACCTAAACGCAAAAATGCGTTCTGCACAGTGTTTTTTTTTACCAAAACCATCCTCCAACGGAGGACCAAAACCAGATACCCATTCTGGGTCCTCTGCGATTCGAAAGGCAAATCTGTGTTTCGAAGAGAGACGACGCAAATGGTGGGCCCGTAGGAGCTGTCGGGGCAGGGCGCGGGCGCGAAGAAAGAGAAGGAGAGGGAGGGGGGCCGGACACGGGGTGCGAGCTCTGCCGGGCTCGGGGAAGAAGAAGGAGAGGGAGGGGGCCGGATCCGGGCGCGAGCTCGGCCGGGCCGCGGGGGCGAGCTCCGCTGGACGCGAGCTCCTCCGGGCGCGGGCGCGAGCTCTGCCGAGCCGCGGCGCGAAGAAGGAGAAGGAGAGGGAGGGGGGGCGGACGCGGGCGCGAGCTCCGCCGGGCTTGGGGAAGAAGAAGGAGAGGGAGGGGGGCCGGATCCGGGCGCCGCGCCAGCGCCAGAGCGCGCCGTCACCCCACGTCGTCGCTGTCGCCATGCCCTGCATGGCCGCGTGGGAGAGAGAGGAAGAGAGCAAGGCAGCCGCATGGGAGAGAGAGGACCGAAAATATTTTATGTTCGCTGTTGGAAACGAAAGAATTTAGTTACCTCATTTGTTTACTATGTCGTGACCCAAAGGATGAAATTTGGGTCGGCTCTGTTGGATAGCTAAGTAAGTAGTAGTGGCGCATTGGCCGATCTCCTTTCTCAGTCGCTCGTGGGAGGGCCTCCACCCCATCTCCCACAGCAGTCAGCATTTCTCGGCACTCTCCTGTCCTCCTTTCTCTCCACTCCACCCCCGCTCATCCTTCGCTCTTCGTTCGTTCGTTCTGGTCGCCGTTATCCTCGTCCTCAGCCCCGACTGAGGCGGCGGCCGGCGCTCCCCAGGCACGCACGAGTTGACGGGTTAAGTGGCAGCGGCGGCGGGATCTTGCCGCCAGCGGCAGTGCCAATCCGGCCCGACCACGCAGGTACGCATGCCTCGGGCACAAGAGAGGCCGCGGTCAGTTCTCCGTTGGATTCTTCCAGCTTCTACACTGGATTATTTATGTATTTGTTTCCTTCAAGAGTCGAAGGAACCAGTGCTGTCTTCGGTTGATTGTTGATTCTGGGAGGCGGTTTAGTCCGATCTTGCGCCTCAACAGAGAGCCAATCCGCTGGGTATCGTTTTGTTTCTTTTTGTTGTTGTTAATTAATTAATATATACAGGGACCTGTTTGCAGGCGCTATCTGATAATTCAATACGATGGAACATCTTATACGTTTATCCACTCCAAACCAGCCATTTTCCTTGTTTCTGTAATACTACCAAGTTTGTTGCAATTGGGCCAAACAAACGTTGGTTAGCCGTATTTATCAAAAAAAAAGAACTTATCTTGTTCTAGAGCACCCGCCCGGTGGTCGACTCTCGTCTCACCTAACTCGGGCTTTAAAGGAAAAGCAGCTGCGGTGTTGTCATCGCCCACTGTTTGCTCTTGTCATCGCTCATCATTTCGTTATTAGGATATATTTTTAATATTTGTCAGTACACTTTTCCTTTTTTAATCAAAAGTTTTTTTTTAAGAAAATCAAAAGGTTGTTTGCGTCGTCATGTTATTCTTTCTGATAATTATGGATGGTGGTTGGCCAAAGGATTAAGCAATAAAGAATCCTTGTTTGTATCGTTATATGGTAGGCATGGGGGTGGGTTATTAGGCCAGTTCTGTTCCTGTGCAGGTGTACCTGAGTTTCGTTGATGGTTGTCTTTTTCTGATCATCAGGTACTGTATTGTGCAATTATTGGTTTTCCTATATCAAGGGACTGAATTCTGCTAAGTGCTAACCATAGATAGGGGTGGGAGCCGCATTCTGTGTCCTACTTGGAAGTAATGCCACTTCCCCTAATTTCTTTTAGTTTCTTGTTTCAGCTATCCTTGTCATGTTATATCTGCGTTAGCCGTTAATCCTTCCTAGTTCCTGCAATGCGAATTTGTCATGTTAATGTGGTATTTTGGGTGATCACATCCTTGGCTGTCTGGTTTACTGTGGTGATTCAATGTCGTTAAGCTGCATTTTGGGGTTCATTGCATGACTTCCTTGGTTTTATTGTTAAGGATCAGTTGATGCCTCTTGTCGTGCCCGTGTTTTGTTGAGACTTTTGTAGCAGGGCTCAAAACTGAATTTTGTTTGATGCAGGATCGCGTGGATACACTGGTATAAGCTGTCAAGTTCTTGACCTGACCTTATCAGTTTTGGTATGTCATTGTTCTCTTATGTTTACTCCTCTGTTAATGACTGCACAGTCTTTCCTTATGCTATGATTTTTCTAACCTACAGCTTATAAGGATGGGGGTTTACCTCAGCACTCCCAAAACTGATAAGCTATCTGAGAATGGAGAAAATGATAGACTTAAGTTTGGTCTTTCATCTATGCAAGGATGGCGAGCAACCATGGAAGATGCTGTGAGTTTCCTAATCCTAGGCTATTAACATCTTTAGCATTTTATTTGCATGACCAGGGGTGCGAATTAGGGTCACCAAATGACTCCCATGTGCATGATGGATGTAATTTTGTAATGTCTGGAATCACTGATGCTGATAGGATAACCTTTTAAAATATTAACTTTTGAAGATAGAATGAGTAACGTTTTATGGGTTACAGTTAATGTGGGCATGTGTTGCTTCACCCCTAGAAAGATAGCATCATAGAAACAATCTAATGCCATCAGTTGTTCGAGTATGCTTTTTTTTTTCTTGAACACTATTAGAATATGCTTTCAGGAAACTGTGGACCCATCATTTGTCATGGACTAGAGGCATGAGCTCTCTTTTGTCAATACTCAATACTCGATCGATATTGCTTTGATTTCATTTGGTGCTTTGACACAATTAGTTTAATTAGTTCAGTGTCAACTACACACATAGTTAATATCTGAAATATGCCTAGCATTTTTATCAGTCAGGCCATTTCTGAAATTGTTCCATGATACAATGTTTAATAATATGGAATTCAACAATCTGTGCATCCATGCAGCATTCAGCATTGCTAGATCTTGATAGCGAGACAGCATTCTTTGGTGTTTTTGATGGTCATGGAGGTAAGCACACTAACAACGATCAGTGCCTTTTATGTTCCATTGTATTAGACTACTCAGGACGGATGCTGCTATGCCAAATATTAACATCGCACAACCTCATATGGATTGCTTTACTCAGGAAGAGTGGTTGCCAAATTCTGTGCAAAATATCTGCATGGTCAAGTTCTCAAAAGTGAAGCCTATTCAGCTGGTGACCTAGGAGCTGCTGTCCATAGAGCTTTCTTCAGGTATATGGTGAACCAGATCCCACATGAGATATAATAAAGCTTAAATTTTTATAGCATTACTGTCAGCTTGACGATGACAATTTCTAATTTTGTGGTTGTGCTACTTCAGAATGGATGAAATGATGCGAGGACAGAGAGGTTGGCGAGAACTATCTGCATTTGGAGACAAAATAAACAAGTTTAGTGGTATGATAGAAGGATTGATTTGGTCTCCAAGGGGCAGTGATTCGAATAGTCAACAAGATGATTGGGCTTCAGAGGAGGTATATATGCAACTGACTGCTGCTGCTTTCACTTTTCTAACATAGATGTACATCTATTTTCCCTTCTCAATGAAATATAGGTTCTACATGTTTCAGATTCTTAAATACTTGTGTCAGTTGTGAATTTAACAGCTGAGTTTCATGCTGGAAAGAGAAACCCATGCAAATAGAACTATTCACAGCCAGCAATGAAGGCTTTGTTGTCAATAATGATGTACTATGAGTTGATTTTGAAATATGAAAATCAGTTTTCCGATATTCGTTTATGGGTAGCAGTTCTTCTTCATGATTGTTTGAAATATGGTATTAAATTTAGTAATCCCTTTCTTAGATAATCTTTTATTAGGGACAACACCCTGGCTACTACTGTTTTCACTTTTCTAAAATAGATGCACAGCTGATTTTCTACTTATTAAAATAAAGATCATATCTTTTCAAATACTTGCAAGCTGTATCAGTTGTGAATTGCAAATAGCAGCTGAAATTTTATGGAAAAAGAAATCCATGCGAAGAGAAAACTGCCACCAAACATGGAAGCTGTAATGTCATTAATGATGTACTATGAGCTAATTGTGAAATGTGATATTCTGAAGTCCATGTCTTTATTATCGTTTGAATTATGGTATTGAATTCATGGAATGCCACATGTATAATCATTTATCAGGGACCTCACTCTGACTTTGCTGGGCCTACATGTGGGAGTACTGCATGTGTAGCACTAATAAGAAACTCCCAACTTGTTGTGGCAAATGCTGGTGATTCCCGATGTGTTATTTCAAGGGGTGGAAAGGTATGTTACTCGTGCTCTTGCCTTAGTATAAATAAGATATCCTTGACAGCCTGAGTATATATTTGTTCTGTGTCAAATACATGGTAGGCATACAATCTATCAAGGGACCACAAACCAGAGCTTGCGGTTGAGAGAGAAAGGATAATGAAAGCAGGGGGGTTCATCCATATGGGACGAGTAAATGGAAGTTTAAACTTGTCAAGAGCAATTGGTTAGTTATTTTCTTGCTTCTTTCAAATACAGCTGCACCTTGCTTTGTGCCTTAATTATGCAAGTACCTCTTCATAGGAGATGTGGAATTGAAACAGAACAAATTCCTGCCTCCCGAGAAGCAAATTGTGACGGCCAATCCTGATATTAACATTGTAAGGTCTCTAAATCTAGACATTATCTGCTATGGAACTGTTAAGCTAATAGTAGTTGCTTTTCTTTGGAAGTTCATGCAATCTTGTCCTTTGTTAGGTGGAGCTCTGCGATGATGATGACTTTGTTGTTGTAGCATGTGATGGCATTTGGTAAGGCTATTTACCTACATTTCCGTACCTTCATGCTATGTACAGCTTTACACCTCGTGCCATTCTTACTGATATCAAGTGCTTGGCTTTAACATACCATTCGCCTCTTACAGAACTACTACTTTGTTTGATGAACAGGGACTGCATGTCAAGCCAACAGCTGGTGGATTTCATCCATGAGCGTATAAACATGGTAAGCAACCATGTTCTTTTTAAAATTGGCAACTGAAACTGGACTTTTTAGTAAGACTGAAGTGGCAGGCAGTGACAAACCATGAATGGGGCAAACAATTGCAGGAGAGCAGTCTATCCGCCGTGTGTGAAAGAGTGCTGGACAGATGCCTGGCTCCATCAACGATCGCTGGAGATGGGTGCGATAACATGACCATGATCCTGGTGCAGTTCAAAAAACCAGTCGATCGGAACAAAAAGGCCGAAGTAGCAGGGCAATCTGCCAACAATGCAGATGAAGTCAAGAGTCGGTGAGTGCATGCCTTGCTTGCTTCCTAGCTGGAATCTTTCTCGTATCTTTGTTGCACATTAACAGAAATTCTTTGGACCAGTGTTGCTGAGGAGTGAAACGTGGTTGACACTCACAAAGGCGCAACCATTTGCTTCCATAAGGGCAGGGAAAAATGAAGAAATGTGCACTGTACATATCTCAACTGTATGTGGCATGCTATGCACATCCTGCGCAAGAACCTCAGATAATGGCATTGCTTGCCTAGTGCAGTGGTGTATCTTCAGATCACAACCGTGTGCCCCATCATCCGTTTATCGCCCGTCGAGCATTTCAGCTGCAGCTTTCGGTCATCTACAGCCCTCGAAACTGTGGCAAAGTCGGTGTATTCTTTCTGTGGTGTAGCATTCCTCGTGTGCTGTAAACAAAGCTTGGTTCCATGCCTCACCAGGCTGTGCTTTCCTTCAATATGGTGCGTCAAATCCAGTTTTTGTTGCGAGAATGAACCGTGGACCTTAGTGTGTTCTGGTGGCTGTTTGGTGCAACTAGGGGGTTGGCATAAAATGATAAAATCTGATACCTGGACCTGATTCTGAATACTCGAACTTGAATTACCGGCTCGCTATTTCGGATTGTAAGTATATGATGAATCTGATTTCAGTTTGGATAATTCGGCTATTAGTCCCCGGTACCTGATGTACCCATTTTATCTGAAATAATGGGTAGACTATATGCTATTTGGTTGGGATTGACTAATTATGTGGTTTCCTAATGTCAATTTTTGAGGTAATTGGGAACTACTCATGTTTCTTTTTCTGAAATGCTACTAAAGAACTGCTGTTTATATTACTTAAAATTCCTGTTATAGTTATGTCCATTACAATGGTTTTACTGATTTCAGATAGTTTGAGAATGCTACTATTTTCTCAGGACAAATTTCAGAAACCTAAATTTTTGAAAATCCGAATATCCGACTTAGAACTTTACAGATAACCCAAATGACCGCCCACATTAGTGGGCTATAGCAAAGCTATAGCGGCTCACACTAGTTGTCGCTACAATACAATTGTATTAAATAGCGGACTACAACGGCACTATTAGCGGGATATAGCAACACTACAACGGTTGAAAAGACCTCTCCGCTAAATGATATAGCCTACTATTTAGAACGCTAAATGTTATAGCTTGTGATTTATAGAACATTGATTTTGATTAATGTTAACGTTCATTTTTGCACGGCCCCAAAGCATCTTGCTGGTGATGGTGAGGGTAGACGATGTGGGGGGTTTTAGTGGAGTGGGAAACAGGGCCTGAGCTAGTCTCGTCCGTCCAATCATCGCTCCTGCCGCCCGATGGCCGCCACGACCATCGTCCTCGCCCCGCGTCAGTCGCTCCTGTCACTCCTTATCCCTTCCCTGTCCGCCAAAGAAAATCCCCATCGCCTGCGCTGCGCTTCCTTCCCCGTCCGCACCCGCCCGCCGCTGCTCCTCCGGCAGCTCTGCCAAGCGCCCACCCGGAACCTGCCCGCACGGCCGGCCAGCGCGGCCTGGTATAGTGGTACTAGTATCTATCAAATCAGCCATCTGCCCCCCTATTCAAATCAAGTCCATTTCCATTTCCCTTTCCTCTCTACCCTCTCCTTCGTCTCCGGCGGGCGGTGGTCTCACTTCCCTTTCCCCGTCGCCCCCTGATGGCTCCCTCGGCAGCTCTCGCTCCGGCGGCCTTCCGCTCCGCCTTCTCGGCGCCGCTCGCCTCGAACCCTACCCGTAAGTCCCAACGCTCCTGCTTTTACTCCCCGTTTCGGTCGGTTCTTCCTCGAGTTACGATTTAGAGCCGGCGGGAGTAAGTAGGAAATCTGGAATCGGTTCCTCCTCAGCGGTTGCACAGCGCATTATCCATGCGCTGCGTGTCTGATTTGGGGAAGAGTTCCATTGGAGGTGGTGTCGTAGTCTAGGGCGTTGGGTGGGGGCTGCGTGCGGGAACGCCAGGCGCGGCTTTGTTGGGACTTGGGAGCAGCGTTCGCTGATGTTAGCCGGCTGCCTGGCTTGGAACCGTTGAGCTCGAGTCGGGGTCTCGAAATGAGTAGAACTGTCCATCTTGCAACGATTGCTCAGTTGTTACCTACTTACCTGCCTATGAATAATCACGAGCATGAGAAAATTACTCTAGGTTTTTAGATTTACTATGGACTCTCGTTGCTTTGTTGAACTAAACTTTAATAAAATGGGCTCTTGTGCACTATTCCTGGCTGCCATTCTTTTGTACTGAGTCACCAGGGCATACTTGCTGATAATTTGATATTGGATTGGGTAACATCTGAACATCTTGTGCCCACTGTTGACTGTTGTTCAGGTAATAGAATAAACATAGAAGGTGCTTTCTGTTTGCCGTGTTCCACGAGGAAGAGAGCTAGTTATAGACCTTTCCGAGTGTACAGTTTATTTGGAGGGAAGAAGGATAAAGATGAGAATGGTGATGAGGCGCCATCGAAAGTAAGTAATTGACTGATCATCTTGTTTCTGGTGTTATTGTTAAGGTTCTGTTCCTATTTTTTTTGAAGCGAGGGTGATCCCCCATTTCCATTACTGGCATAACGGAAATACATCAGCATCTGAGATGTTTCAAAGAGCAAGAAAGATAAAGAAGGCTAGAACCGTCTAAACATCATCCCCAGAAATTATCGATCTAGAACCTGAGACTTTAAACTAGAACGACTTAGAAGTAACAACGATACACATGCCAGAAGGTTCTGTTCCTAATATTAGCTAGAACTAAAAAAAACACTAACTTCATTTTTTTTGGATAATTCATTATGTATATATTTATGGGAGAAGTCCATTTTTGACCATTCAACTATAGCTAAGTTAGATTTTGCCATTCAACCTAGAGTAATTCTGCTCGTACATTGTTTGGATGCTACCTTTGAAGATTGCCGAACTGACTCCGGTCATTTATTTTTTGATTTATATCTTCTCATTCGTAATTGGTATTTTGTTTATAACAATCTTGAAGCCCTCTGACATTTTAATAACTTCAGGCAGGAATTTTTGGAAATATGCAAAATCTCTATGAAACTGTTAAGAAGGCCCAAATGGTTGTCCAAGTTGAGGCTGTCCGGGTGCAAAAGGAGCTTGCAGCGTATGCATTCATATCATTAAGTTATCTTTCTCATGTTGATGCAAAATAGCCTGTCTGTGTGATTTTATTTTTCTCCTATTTTTTAGGACTGAGATTGATGGTTATTGTGAAGGTGAACTAATCAAGGTATCTTTGGGAAGGCTTTTTATTATATTCTATGTATTTAAACATTGTTTATCCCTGCCAAATATTTGAATTATTACATTATTGAGAAACACTAATGGTTGGGCCTGTAAAAATCTTAGCATCATTAACGGCCCATCAATATTTTTCTATTCAAAATCTAGTCATGTTGTATATATGAGATTATGGTTCTTGTCTTTCCTATAAGATTTTCAAATGTTATCTGAATTACACAAAATCACTTACTTTTATTAGCTCTGGGTCTAGATAAAACTGTATAGTAATATTTTAGGTCACTCTTATGTATTGTTTTTGGCACACGGACACTGGCAAAGCTGTTCATTTCAAGGCAAATAATTGATGTATCATGCAGTTGTTGTTATAAAAGTGAAAACAATATATGTGAGCATCTAGAATGTGACATCTTTGTAAATTTGTAAACAATATATGTGTTCTTGGGGTTGTTTGTGCCCTCAATTTATCGGTGTATTAACTTAAGCACTTCAGCTCTTCTGTGTTTCTCTACTTCCAATTCTTACCCAGGTCCATAACTGTTTTTGATCCCCTCCACAGGTTACACTTTCTGGAAACCAGCAACCTATTAGAGTTGAAATTACGGAAGCTGCAATGGAGTTGGGTGCTGAAGTATGTATTATGCCTTTGCTAGTTTCATTATTTTATCTGAAGTTTTTGCATGATCTAATGCTGTCATGACTGATGTAGTGATTGTTCATATGATTGTTTGCATGTTGAGGTAAATAGATATTGATTGTAGTGATGTAGTTACAGGTTATAACAACCCATTTCTAAAAAGGTGAATATGAATTGGCTAAACACCTTATGTTTGTGCACACTCGCACCAGAGAAAATTGCTTGTGGCCACTGACACGTGTGCTAAAACGATCTGACCTATGAACAATCATTTGTGAACATGTGCATCAGAATGCAGGATAGCGTTTCATTTTCATGACACACACAACTTGTCTGCATAAGAAGACACTGATGGTTTATTTTAAGGATGGTATTCAATTCATTGCTTAGAACGGGAAATAAGAAACCCCAATGACTTGCACCCTCGTATAAGAAAGAGATGCATCTTGTGTCAAACTCGGTTACATGTAAAGATGAGAACTTGCGGACTAGTTTTTTTTTTGTTGGTGTGTGCGTGTTGTTGGTTGGGGGGGGGTACATTCTAGATAGATGGATGTTTGCCTGGCATGGCATATGAGATGTTGGAAAGCCTTTTAGGCTACCTCAACATTTTATTTTGTTGTCAGTCTCTTGCTTATCCCAACACTTGTTATATGTTTCCTTTCAGAAACTTTCCGAGTTGGTCAACGATGCTTACAAGGATGCGCATCAACAGAGCGTCCAGGTGTGAATTTTGAGTCTTGACAATGCTTTATTGCATACAATAAGGAGGGGTTTCAAGCTGATTGCTGTATAGAGAATGTAAAATCAATATTTATACTAAAATGATCTTCAACTAATGCCTTCAGGCCATGAAAGAGAGGATGGCTGACTTGGCACAGAGCTTAGGAATGCCTGCGGGCCTCGGCGATGGTCTCAAGTGATGCCGCAATTCGGGAAACCTTTCCAATAATTTTTTTCCTCAATTTTGTATATCTAGCCGTGTGAGTCGTAAGTTTAACCCCTCTGCGACCTCTCATAGCTGCGTAAGAAGTGAACTTGTGAGCACATGTTTCTTCCAGCTTTAGCTGTAATTTGCTGTTTTACCCAAGCAGATATCTGCACCCTGGTATATTTCTAGAGGAAATGAATCGTGGTAATTAGACTTGCACCCTGAACGTCCCATACTACCATGGAACATGGATACATCACGTGTGGTCTGCTCAGTTGCAAGATGCGGGCCACTCTGTTGGGCATGTTTTCAACAAGTTGTTGGGCTGGCGCAGTTGCAGGCTTGCAGCCTGCGAAGATGAGACAACCAAGCCCATTCTTGTGATCTACTCCCTCCAGTCTCAAAATAGAAGTCGTTATGGGATGCGCGTAGGTTAAACAACTTTTTCAATTTTAACTAAATTTATAAAAAATATGTGCAACAGTTATATCTTCAAATAAATTTATTATGAAAGTATATTCAACAATCTATCTAATGATATTAATTATGTATTATAAATATTAATAATTATATATATATATATTTGGTCAAAGTTAAAAATGTTTGATTTCTTGGGAAGTGAGAATGACATCTATTTTGGGACGGATGGAGTATATAGGATGCATACCACCGAAAGCCTTCAGAATTGGTCGTGTGACCAAGGAGAAATCATGACTTTGGTGAACAACTGAACATGATGAAGAAGAGTGAAATGTTAAAGTTTTTCTTGTCACAGCATTACTAGACGTCTAGACCCTAGCCGTTGAATGTGGTCTGAAACGGATCATGGCTGGCATGTTTGCTTATGAATTCACTGCAAAGACTACAGTCTTCCCATGGTCTTAGTATAATTTTCGCTGCAGGTGATACCTTCCTTTTTCCAGTTAAGCATGCCAGGGCATAGCAAAGGTACTTTGAATTTAACCTTATTATTAGCCGAGTCGGTCATGCATCATCGTTTATCATGGAAGTTCACAACTACCAGCCTTTAAATTCTTTATTAAATTTCGAAGCCACAAGGTTCTTCTCTGAGTCTTCTCCGAGCATTTATTCTGAGGAAAACCACAAGATCTATTCGGAGTTTAATTTAATCACAAAATCTCTCTAAATAACAATAGGACTAGGTCGAGACTTTTCCTAGTCTATTTTCCTAATTAAAATATATGCAGGTCTTGATCGTACTCCGGATATAAAACGCGAACCACCATGTGCACATCTGCTCTACAAGACTTAATTTTGTACGCTGTATATGTTCATGATTTGCAGCGGTTACGCAGCTGCAGTTGCAGGACGGGGATTCGGATTACCCGAAGTCCTAAACAGGTGCAACCGAAAAGAGAGAGGGAAAAATTCATTCTTTTGTGCACAGACCCTCTCATGAAGCCACCACCGAAATGGTAATAGATTTACTGTGTTAAAATTAAATAGTTTGACACCTCCGGCAAGACCTTGTATATCAATTTTATGCATCTATCTATAAACTCAAGTGTTGGTGTCTAGTGTTAAGCGGAGATATTTTATTCTTATATAGCAATCCTCTTATGTGCCACTAAAAGGAACAAAAGTTTATTCTTATATATCAATCCTCTTACATGTCACTATAAGCCACCACCAAATGCTAATAAAAGATAAAAATTAAAAAAATTAGGCATTTGTTTTCATCAAATCTACTTTTTTTTTGAACTTTCAAATCTACTTTTTTCAGTACTTGAGCAGCTGATAATTTTGCTTTTGCACTTTTACATTCTGCTCCTTAGCCCCGAAAAGAACGAAATTCTAGTTCTATCATTGGTTAAACTAACTAAAGTTTGAATAAGTTTATAGAAAGGAAGAAGTGTCAATATTTATGACATCAAACAGATATATTATAAAAATATATTTCATGAGGAAGCTAATGATACATTTTGATATCATAGGCATTCATACTTTCAAGATGGTTTGTTTGGTACTGTGCTAGAATTATATATTTGAGTTAAATGCATCGTAGGTCCATTAGCTTTTGGTGGTGTGTCATCTATGTCCATTAACTTTTAAACTGTATTTTTTGATCCATTGACTTTTGGTGGCGTGTCATCCAGGTTCATCAACTTTCAAACTGTATTTTTGGGTCCATTAACTTTTGGTGATGTGTCATCCAGGTCTATCAACTTTTAAATTGCATTTTTGGGTCCATAAACTTTTTAACCGGTTCACCGTAGGTCCATACCCCTTCGTTTAGCGAATAGATCTGACATGGCACGCCAAATAAGCAGCCACCATGGAGTAGGTGATGAGTCCATAACTCCTCAAGATGTTCATGGAATTCAAATGTAGCAGCTGTTAATTCGTTAATATCCTCTGATCTTAAATTTGGAACTATTATTTTTAAGGATAAATATATTGTGGACATGGAGAAATTTACAACTGGTGGACTGTCATCAAAGATATTTTTTAGAGGTACCTTATTATTGCGTGGAAAGGAGGAGAAAATGAAGCCAACAAAATACATCAGTACTAATTCTAAAGAGGTGGAGATCATCAATGGAATTTTTCCAACGTGATTAGCATTCTTGCCATAGTATTTTATTATTTTTATGCATTAGTTTCCTATCCAGCTGTGATACACGATCTTTTATCAAGCATCTAGCTTTTAGTGCTGCATGCACATGTGTACGTGAATCAAATTGGTGGCTGCGTTTGGACGTGCCATGCATGTTAGCCGAACCAGGGACTCAGGGTCAATCGGTCCTAGTTGGGCTGGTGGAGTCCGAGTTTTGTTTGGGTCAGATGGCTTGCGTGCGGCCTTCGGCCTTGTACCAGGTAGATTAGACTAGATTTTATTATGGAGTTTATTCCCCGTCGAGCCACCGCTCGAGAAACCCTAGATGGTGATCCCATCAGGTTCTTCGTATCGAAGATTATCTCCGGATGGTGATCTCGTCCTGTACTCCATGGTGGCTGTTTTTTGCCTTGCCATGTCAGATCTATTCGCTAAACGAAGGGGTATGGACCTACGGTGAACCAGTTAAAAAGTTTAGGGACTCAAAAAATCAATTTAAAAGTTGATGGACCTGGATGACACATCACCAAAAGTTAATGGACCCAAAAATGTAGTTTGAAAGTTGATGGACCTGGATAACACACCACCAAAAGTTAATAAACCAAAAAATACAGTTTGAAAGTTGATGGACCTAGATGACACACTATCAAAAGTTAATGGACCTACGGTGCATTTAACTCTATATATTTTATCCTGAGAGAGGGAGTATATTCAAACATAGGTCTTTTGCACAAGCGCTCAGAATTCTCTCAACAATGAGCAGCTGAGAGGCTCGATCCTCGTTCTAATTAGCAAATTCTGTGGAATAAAGAAAAAATAGGACAAGAATTATATTCTAAGAAAAAGATCATATAGAGCCTTTGGGGAAAATGATTGATGACCATCGATATTTCCTGCCAACCATATATTCAGGAATTTTAAGGCATATTGCAATAACAAATTTAAATTTTATAAGCAAAATTGCGAGTAGTCCTAATTTGTGCACCAAAATGTTTTAGCTAAGTTAGTTTTTCATTTAAACCATCGGTTGCATATGTGAAGCTTGCTAACGGGCAGGCACGTGGCAGTGGGGTCCACTTGCCTGGGCTCTCCCTCCCTCATGTTGTCTATCTCTCTCCCCCTCTCTTCCCGTCCAAATCACACCTAGCTCGCTGGCCACCCCTTTTCTTCCTACCAGTCCATTGATTGCCCCATTTCCTATGGTTGAGGTGGAGAGGGTGTCACATGATTAGATTTAGAGCAGAAGGCGATAACTCAGGATGAGACAATTACATTGCGGTGAACTTTCATCCTAGGCAACAATTCAGAGCTCGATCTAGTCTCCTCCTCATCGATCCAACTTGTCTTTATCAACCCACGGTGGGCCCATGGCCATAGGGTGGCACATGAGATAGTGAGGAACTTGAGGCGGAGGCCATGGCAATTCTCGCGCTTTTTGGTCTTATGGAGGCAGAGGCCATGGAGGTGGTTGGGAGGGAGGGACATACGGACTAGTCTTGGGCTACAAAGAGGTCCCCCATGGTGATCTTGTTTAGGAGCCTGGAGCCTCCCACCTGCGTCCACAAAGACAACATCAAGGACTTTGTCAATGACGAGGACATACCTAGGCATCAACTTGTCAAACTGAAAGCTCTAGTTTGGTTTTGGTGAATTGATGAAACTCTAAGTGCTAACCTAGTTTATCAAAGTGATCATGAGATAAGTATCACTATTCTAAGTGATGGAGCAATGGTGAAGATCATGATGATGGTGTGGTGATCATGATGATCAAGTGCTTGGACTTGGAAAAGAAGAAAGAGAAAAATAAAAAGCTCAAGGCAAAGGTAAAACTTGATAGGAGCTTTTTTGGTTTGGTGATCGAGACACTTAGCGAGTGTGATCACATTTAGGATCGATAGCCGTACTATTAAGAGGGGTGAAACTCGTATCGAAATGCGGTTATCAAAGTGCCACTAGATGTTCTAACTCATTGCATATGCATTTAGATTCTAGTGAGTGCTAACACCCTTGAAAATGTTTGTGAAAATATGCTAACACATGTGCACAAGGTGATACACTTGGTGGTTAGCACATATGATCAAGGGTGGCGGGGTTGGAGTTGAGAAGGGGCTGTCTCGAGGTGACCGGACGGTGCTCTAGCAGCGACCGAACTCAGCAGCCACGTCCGGTCAGTGACGCGCAGTGAAGGCCACCCTTGGTCTTTTGATCGGACGCTAAATAGTGAATGTGACCGGACACGCAAGGCCTGTGTTTGGTCAGAAGGTGACGTACGCTAACGTCAATCATGAAGCATTAGCGCGTAGAGAAGAAGAACCGAACTCTATCATGGGTCTGGTCACACCTAAGCGGACGTGTCCGGTCATGAAAAAATGCCTCTGGATGCTTACTGGAAACGATCTGACGCTGGGTTATAG